CCAATTTTGCTTCCTTTCTTTCAAAAATATGTATTACGTGTACACTGAATGCCAGGCACTAAGCTAAGCAGTAGGACTACAACAGTTCAAGACAAATCTATCCCTTGACCATTGAATCAACCAGATTCAATGAATCTGCTGGAATTTTCCAATGTATTTCTTTACTACAGATCTCACCTCCTTTCTCTAAGTCACTAGAAACCCAGTATAGAAACATTTGCCAGATTCTCTGCTTCAGAAATCTTCTTGAACTCACTTCTTGTTTACCTGGGCAAATATTTCACGTCTAATGTCACAGAGAGTTTTCTCTGCCTCATGTCACTCAGTCCTTTCCCTCCTTCCCATCTCAAGTTTTCTCAGTTTTATTTCTTTAAGAAGCCTCCTTCCATGGCATTCTTAACTCCCACAAGTTAAGAGGCTCCTTGTCTCATGTGTTGGTCACAAGTCTTAAGGGTTGCATAAAACGTCACATGCCTTGGGCTCATTCATATCCCCTTGTGGATGTAATCATTACCAGAGCTAAAGGAAGCCGACATTCCTTGAGCTTCAAAGGGAGCCTCAAAATCTATGAGTATGTTTTTACTTAAAGACTCTCATTTGAAATGTTAACAGGCTTTGCAAGTGAGAGCAGAGTCTTATCCTGAGGAACTCAGAGTGAAACTGCAAAAGGAATTACATGTCTCTGTGAATCACTATTTCAAGAACAAAGGTCAAAGGTGATGACAGGTCACCTAGAGGCTGTGGCAGGAGAATTCTCTCATTCAACACTCGAATCAGATCCTTGGTAGAACAGTTTCAGAATTAGAGTTCACTTTTATGTAAAGAGGAAAAACCCAAAAAAATTATTTGACTGGACACATAAAATCATTACACTCAGCTACTGTCACCTCAAAGAATGCAAACAACTAGCATTACATTTTATTTTATTTTTTGTCTTTTGCACTGTTTATTGCATATTGTGTGAGGCTACAAATACATAAACCCAGATGATTCTATTTTAAAAACAATCCATCGTAAATACTGTTATGATAAGCTCTAAATAGCACTTTCTGTGATATGCTTATACAGCTAAAGATTGTGCGGGTTTTAGGAGCATGTTAATTACAGAAGGACTTGAAATATTTCTTTAAATGTACTATTCAGGTGACTTGACATACTGTAGATCTCTGGATGGTTCATGATAACAATGAAAGCAGTATCACTGTAAACAATCAAATTATATGCATGTAATTTTGTACAGATATAGGCTTTCTTACTGTATGCTTATGTAATGTGACTCACATTAGCTAGCTCTCTATAATTAGCTGATCTGTTTAAACAGACTTCTACTCCAATAGCTGCTATATTGTGCATATTACATCACAATTAGTTGGTTGTCTTTCTCCCCTGATAAGCTCCTTGTTGCTTTTAGTATCTCCAATTTCTAACATTATGCCTGGTATAAAGCACACATGTAACAGATGTTTGCTGAAGGAATGATGGACTTTTGATGGCTGAAAGCTATTTATAAAAGTACTCATCATTGAACTTAAAGAGCATTTTCCTCATAGGTATGTTCTGACGTAGAGTAACTTTGAGAACTAATTGGAATACAAACATCAGCAGTATTATTGTGCTAAACTTGACGATCTTGCAAAGTTTTCACAACTCCACACACATTTTCTGATTCTAGCTTCTGCTCTGAACCTTTCCCAGCTGTCCTTCATATCTCTGTTACAAGAATACAAGCATCTGTCATGAACTCTCATACCTACAGATAAAGAGGTCCATAAAACAAACGGGAGGGGGAGGGTATAGCTCAGTGGTAGAGTGCATGCTTAGGATGTACGAGGTCCTGGGTCAATCCCCAGTACCTCCATTAAAGTCAATCAATCAATCAAACTAATTATTTCTCCACACACACACAAAAAAAATTTAGAAAATAAAATAAAACAAAGGGGAAAGAGAAAAGGGGGTTGTGATCCCTTTTGTCTGATACATGTGTTCTTTTGTTGATGGTAGATTTCTATTAGAAGGTCCCCATTTCTTTCAGAATCATCTACACACTCACCCATTCATTCAAGAATTGGTTAGGCTCAATGGGAGGGGAGAAAGTTCAGGTAGAAAGGACTGTGTTTTATAAAAAGAGATACAGAAAAGTCCCATGAGAGTTCCAACAGGAACAGGAAGCTCAAGGAGGTGAACTAACTTGCTCGAGTTCATACACCTTGGAACTGTTAGAGCTGAGATTTATTCCTCTTACATTTGATATCAGATGGAATACATGCAGGAACTGAGATTTGAGTCTAGTTCAGGATGGCACAAAAGCCTGTGGTCTTCCGCTACACTACATCATTCTGTGCCCCATAGGCTACTGTTTTAGTTATCTGACAGAGGCAAGTGGACCTGTACTAGGTTATCGGCAATGAAAATAAAAAGGATAAAGGGGTAGAGACAAGAAATACAGGATATACAATGAGTACGACATGTAGCTGACTAAATTTGGAATGAGAGAGAAAGAATGGAATTTAGTATGGCTTAAGCTTGGAGTCTGGGTAACTAGGAAAACAATGATGCCATCAGCAGGATTAAGGATCTTAGAAGAAGAGAGAGTTTTTCTTCAGTGAGAGTTCTAAATCTTCAAAACTCATGTCACCTCCTCCATATAACCTTTTCTGACATCCTCAGGTCCATCAAGCAATATTTCATATCTCAACAGTAATGATGATGGCAAGATAGCTAACAGTTTTTGAATGCAGACTGAGTGCCACGCTTGTACCAAGTTCGTTTTCTTCCCTACAGAAAACATATGAGGGAAGTACTATTATTAACCCCATTTTATAGAGGAGGAAACTAGGGCTTGGAGAGTCCTAAGAGATATTAAATGGCAGACCAAGATGTGAATTCAGGTTGGACTCAGAGACAGCACTACTAACAGAGGCAGAAAAGTGCAGTACTTAGAGCACAAGAAATGGGGCCAAACTGGGTGGGTTTGAATCCTGCTCTGCTATTAGCTGAGTGACCTTGTGCAAATTATTGTGCCTCAATTTCACCATCTCATCTGTTAAATAAAGACAATAATAGTATCTGTCTCCTAGTATTGTTGTGAGGATTAAATGAGTTCATATCTATAAAGCACTTTAAAAAGTGGCTGGCACATAGTATTAATCACTGCACTCATCTCTCTCTCTCTTTCATAATTATTGGAACTTTCTTATCGAGCTGTGAGTTCCTCTAAGATAGGAAGCGTGTCTGTTTCATTTTACTATCTCCAGCACCTAGCACCATGTCTGCCACATAGCATTTGTTGCCTGAATGACATTATTCAGGCAGCTTGAAATTCCATCTCTGAACCTTGGAGAAGGGAGGTGGATGGAAAAATAGGTACGAGTCCTACATCTAGACATTTAAGCCTGACAATAGGCAAGACTACCAAAGAAGAAAGCGTGGAGGGCAAAGAAATAGAACACTGGAGAAAGACTGATGGCAGGAGATGAAAGGAGACAGAAACGGAGCTCTGAGAGTATACACTTTCAAAGAAGCCGCGGAAAAAGAGAGTTCAAGGGACTTGAGGTGAGTCCAGGTGAAAGGCTGACTTAAAGGAAGAGTATGAAAATTTTGTGGTTAACAAGCAGCTGACCCTGAGGTTTAAGAAAATATTTTTTTGAGTCTCAAAGGAAGGAAATGAGAGTCCTTGTGTAATAGTTTTTCTAAAACTTGGCAGGCTTTCAAATGTGGGTCCCTATTCACCTTGCGGGAAGCGAGGGTGAGGGGTAGTTGAGAGAATTAGCATTTAAGCTTACAGGGAAAGGGAGGGTCTGGGGCTCTCCAAGGTGCTACTTCTTAACTAAACCGTAATGAAGTTATATCTTCTTTCCCAAAGTGAGATAGAAAATGCAAACAAAACGTTCGTTTTTGCCCTTCATTATTTCATTTAGGCTGGCAAAGCAAGATTGATGATGTTTTTTGCCAGGTAGACATATCTCACTCATTACATTTGAATCTCAATAGGGTTCTACCACCCACGAAGTATGAATAACCAGTTTTCCGAGTTTTTCCTGATACAGTTCTGGTTAACACTTGGGATCCCCACTCCTCCTTTAAAGAAGGGCAAGAAAAGGGAATCGATAACAATAGCTGACAAATTGCGTTTTTATGAATAATAGGCATCACTGACGCGTTTTCAAGAACATTATTCTTTTACAAATTTTGAGTAACAGAAAACTCTTAAGCGGTCAAATGGGCCCACAGGCATCCACCATACAAGATTCAAAATTTACTTTCACAGTATATTGTCTAATAACGTTTTCCCCACTGTTAATCGGAGAAAAACAGACCCTGGACAGTCGCTGGAGGGACTGAATCAAATACCTTTTTAAAGAGAGGTTTTCAGGGAGGGTATAGTTTAGTGGAGGAGTGCATGCTTAGCATGCACGAGGTCCTGGGTTCAATCTCCAGTGCCTCCATTAAATAAACAAATACATACAACGAATTACCTCCCCTCTAAACAAATAGATTTTTTCCATACTTAAATGAATAAGACCCTGTACAAAGCTCGACAAGCACCTTTAGAAGTCCTTCCCCACTCTGGGGCTCAAATTTTCTCCTCTGTAAAATAAGGGGAAAGGGTGTGTGTGCGCGCTCGCGCGCAAGAGATTGGCTGACAGCCCCCCTCCAGCTCTCAAGTCATTTCATATTGATTTCTCCCCTTCATGCTTCTTCCCTCGAGGAAGAATGTTGCGAATTCCCTGGGTATGAAAATAAAGAAAGCAGACAGCCTGTCTTGGAGGATACGTGTTAAGGAGCAGAGATTCTGAAAGGCTCAAGAACTTAATGTCTTGAGCACTTGCGCGGCCAGAGCCGGCTCTCCAGCCCTCGCCTGCCGTAACCCGCGGCTCCGGGAACAAGATGGCGTAAGCACTCAGGCTCTCGCCCCCGCCCCCGCGATTCCGCAATGCGGCAGCAGGCGCAGGCCGCACCCCATTGGCCAACGACGATGAGGTCATCGTGGGGGCGGAGGCCGGCAGCGGCGCGGGGGCGGGGCTTTGCGGACGCACGCACGTCGAGGCGCTGCTGCCCAGAGCTGCGGAGTCTGCGGGCTTGGTCTCGAGCGGCTGCTGTGGCGGCGGCTCGGCCTGCGGCCAGAGGTGAGCAGGGGCTTGTAGGTACAGCGCGGCAGGGAACAGCCTCCAAGGGGCACAGCAAATCCCCCCTAACCGCCCCCTCGCTTGTCAGAGGAATTAGCAAGGACCTCAGGTCTCTGAGGGGAAATGGGGGTTCACCCCTCTTCGGGCACCTCTCCTGTGGTCAGAGGAACAGGAGGTTCACTCCCTTTTGGAGGCCCTGATCCCTTCCCCCACTTAAGTAGAAGACGGAGGAACTGAAGGTTATTGGGTAGGCAGAAGAATTTGGGGGCTTCTTAAAGAGACTCTCAATTTGAGAATTTTCCCCCTTTTATTCCCTACTCCAGGAGGTAGGTGTGCCTGGGCTTAGAGAATTCCTGTTTTCTCATTAGGTAGACAGGAAATGAGGCAGGTGGATTTGAGTACCTCGTTAGGAGGCGAGGACTGGATGACAGTAATGAAGCAGGGCGCGGGAGCGCTTTATTTGGATTCATCTTGCTCAGGATAAGTGCTTTTTGTGTTGTGACCCCACACCCTCGAATTGCTTTGGCCTTTTTAGTTTTCTCTTTGGTTCCAGTGGGATAGAGATGTTCTAGGGAGACTTCTAATCACTAAAGAACAGAAACAGGGAGGCAACTCATTGGAGGCTGTCGTTACTGGCAGCCTCTGAACTATGCTGATTTGGCCTAATTTTACGTGTTTAGTTAGAGGTTATGGAATCTATTGTTGTTGAGGGGGGTGTGGGGGCTGGTAACAGCTGTTTTGGATGATTCAGGTGTAGGCAGTCATAAAGTCAGACTACCTAATCTCTTGAGAAATCCTTGCTTATATCTGAATGTGTTGTTTTGCTGCTTTGTAAGGTCAAGGCACAAGGTTTTGTCATTCGAGTTTCTCAAAATGTCTCCTAAGCTTCCGGAAGAATAACTCTTCCTTTGACGCCAGTTTCATCTATCATTTGGGTTGCCCTCATGATACTAAAAATACTGCATATTTTGTAGAGTTTAAGGACTGTACAGTCTGTGCCTTAACAATAGCTAACTGGGAGTAAATAATTGCAGTTTCAGGACCACTGATAGCGCCAATTGTCTTTCCTACCCGGTAACGGTAAGACCGCCCAAAAAGGAAACCTTTATTGGCTCATGCATGAGAAGCTTTAACAGGTGGAAGAATGTAATTAATCTTGAATGTGGGGATAAGAAACAGAAAAGCTGCGGAGGTCGAAAGCTTATTCTCTCTGGCTTGATAAAATTGCTTTGTCATTGCCATGTATTCCTGTCATGCTTGACTTGAAATTGAGCTTAACATGCAAGGGTTTGTTTTTTTTTCTTTAAGTTAACGCTTATATGTTTAGATTCTCTTGGGAGAAAATGATGTTTTCTGAGGAGTTTGGAAAATTAAACCCTTTAAAGTAGGCTTAGCTTTAGGGTAGTGCTGGGACTTTGACTGTTAGAACTTGGCAGTAGAGGGCAGAAAACTAGTCACAACAGAGGCATCCTTTATGAGAGGGTCACCAAGGTCTCTTCTGTTTGTTTCCTGACACAAGCAAAAAAAGAAAGAAAGAAAAAAAAAAAGAACACTGCGAATGTCACTGCCTCATAATATTGTGTCCAAGGTGTTAAAGAGCTGTTTGGGATTCCCAGTTCCTGTTTTTAATTTGAATACATTCTTATCTATTGAGATGTCCCAAATTATTGTCGTTTGATCCTGTTGTTGAATGCAAAGGAAGTGATTTCATCAGGCACTCTTTGAGAGAGGATTCAGTAATAGCTTCACAATTTCTCCTCTCTGTCCTTCTAAGCAGGATGTCAAAACAGTTGTCAAAGACCTCTTAGCATGGGATGGAAGAAATGAAATGCAAAACGGGGGTCTCAGTCCTCTTGGTAATTCCAAGGTCATATAATTTTCTCTTTTTGCCTTAGGTCAGAGAGAAATCCAGGCACTCAGTTGACCTGTCCTTTCTGCCACCATGGGGGAGCTTTTCCGGAGTGAGGAGATGACGCTGGCCCAGCTTTTTCTACAATCAGAAGCTGCTTATTGTTGTGTTAGTGAATTAGGAGAACTCGGAAAAGTTCAGTTTCGTGATGTAAGTAATTGTGGGGCTGCTTCTTGTTTAGTGCTGAACTCTTATTTTTCTTGTCATGGTCAATTGCCTGGTGATGAATGTTTTGCTTTTTATTTGCAAAAATAACATTATAACACTAGCTTACTATTGGAAGAGTGTACACTTCAAGTTGTCTTTGTAGAGGTGAGAAATGTTTTGTGCCAATTCTTCCATATTTTTATTAGCTACCCCTTTGAGACTAATCCTAAGCGTTCTCAAAGTATTTGCTTGGAATGCAGGTGGAGGACGCCAACCTAATCTGTTCAAGGCTTGCTCTTTACTTTTGGGCTCCTTAACACCCATAGCATGGTATTTTTAAAGAAAATTGTCATAGTTCTTCCATACAATGGGGCATATTTATTATAAAATCTGAAGCATCCAGTTACAGATATGTAGTATATAAGAAAGCATATATTGAATACTCATTATATTGAAGCATTATGCTGAGCACTTGGAGGAGATATCAAAAGAAAATGGACAGTCTAAGAGTATAAAAAGTATGTCCTATGGAGTGTACAGTTTCATCAGGAAGGCACAATACATGCTCCCAAAAGGAGGGAGTAGTTAACAATTCCCTCTTGTGCAATATCAAAGCTCTGTGTACCTTTCATATACAGCATTCATTGTAGTCATGATTTTACATTCATTGGTGTGAGTGGCTGATGAAAGAATGCCTCCTCCACTATGATCTAAGCACCAGGAAGACAGACACATTCATTATTATATCTGTAGTGCCCACATACGAGATAATCAATAGTTGTTGGAATGAATGAATGGATGAAAGAGGAGTGGTCAGAAAGGAGTGGAAGTAATAAATACTGGCTTCCTGGAATTGGCAAGCTTTCAGGAAGTTCTTTGTCTGAGCTGAAGTTGCACAAGTATGACCCAGTGATGTGGTCTTACTCCTTATTCTCTTTGAACCTTTTTCTGCTACCTCTCTTTGAATCTTCTCCTACCTGACTCAGATTCCTTTTCTTAACCTTTCTGAGGACTCTGTTATCTTCCACTAACCTCTCTTTTATCTTCCCTACCTCCACTGTAGGTGTCAGTGTTCCCTAAGCTCTTTTCTGTACTATCTCCGGATAAGCTTCTCCAAACTCACATCATCCCTTATCACCTTTTGTGTGTTTGTGTGTGTGTGTGTGTGTGTGTGTGTGTGTGTGTGATCTCATCTATTCTCAAATCTTCCATCTTTATTCAGTGAGTCTCAAATTTGTATCTCTGGTCCTGACCTCCCAGACACCGTCCCTGAATTTATAACTCTAAGATTTTTGTCATCTCTGTGTCTCAAGCTTGGTATGTCTAAATCCCAACACCTTGCCTTTTAACAGACTATTTCTTCATCCTGACTTTCTAAGTGTGAGCTAATGCAGCAATATTCTTCCAGTTTTCTAGACTTGAAACCTAAAGCAAACCTAAGTCACCCTTAATTTGCAATCCTTCATCTGGTCCTTTGGTGTCTCCCTTCCTAACACCCACTGTGTCTACTCAGTGTTCTTAACTTTTACTTATGATTTATTTCAATCATACAAAAAAAATTATAGGGGATAATACAATGAATATTTATTGTAGTTCCACACTACTACGATAAAGTGAATAGTTAAATAACGTGAGTACAAATTTTTTGGTTTCCCAGTGCGTATAAAAGTTACGTTTATGCTATATGGTAGACTGTAGACTATACTGTAGTCTATTAAGTGTGCAGTTGCAATATGTCTAAAAAATGTATATACATTAATTTAGAAATACTTTACTGCTTAAAAATACTAACCATCTTTCAAGCCTTGGAACAAGTTGTAATCTTTTTGCAATCAAAAGGTCACTGATCACCATAACTAAACAGAATAGTGGAAACATTTGAAATATTTCGAGAATTACCAAAATGTGACACAGAGACACAGTGAGCAAATGCTGTTGTTGGGAAAATCATGCTGATAGACTAGCTCAGTGCAGAGTTGCCACAGACCTTCAATTTATAAAAAATGCAGTATCTTCAAAGTGCAATAATGTGATATACAATAAAATGAGGTATGCCTGTAACTATGTTATCTACTATGTAATTAAGAGAAACATTCCACAAATAATTGAAAGCTCCTGTGTATCTTTCTTCCATGCTGTTCATTTCTTTCTCCTCCCCCTCAAAGGTAATCTCTAGAGTGATCTTTGCTTTTATCATTCCCATGTGTTTTTTCCACTTTTGCTACATATGTATGTTACCACTAAACAATAATATGTAGTATAATTTTGTGTGTTTTAAAACTATGTATATGGTATCGTATGTATCCTTTAGCAAGTGCTTTTTAAATTTAACATTTGTAAGATTTGACTATGTTGATACAGGTAGTGCTTGTTCATTCCTTTAAATTGCTGTATAGTTATTGTAAGAATATACAGTTGATCTTTTTTTCCTTCTGATGAACATTTTGGTTGATTGCAGTTCTTTGCTTTCATAGTGTTGCAGTGAAGATACATTTATATGTCTTGTGGTATGATGTGAGGTAGTTTCTCCCGGGCAGCGGTTCTCCAACTTTTTGGTCTAAAGATTTCTTTATATGCTTAAAATATTATTGAGGAATCCCAAAGGGCTTTTATGTGAGTTATAGCTATCAATATTACTATATTGGAAATTAAAACTGAGAAATGTTTAAAGTGTTTACTTATTAAATTATTTTAAATTATAATAATAAGCACATTACATGTTATAACATTTTTATGAAAAAAACTATATTTTCCAAAATGAAAAAAAATAGTTTCGAGAAGAGTGGTATTGCTTTTACACTTTTGAAAACCTTTTAGTGTCTGAATTAATAGGAGACAGCTGGATTCTTATATTGACTTCTGCAGTCAGCCTGTCATGACATATGTCATGAGCCTCTGAAAAACTTCACTGAACAGTCATGAGAAAATGAGAATGAAAAAGGCAAACGATCTCTTAGCATTACATGAAAATGGTACTGATCTCATGAACCTGCTGCTGCTCAGGGATTATAATTAGGAGGGGCATTGCTGAGCGCTGTGTACGTCCCAAACTGTCAGATGCTGTCAGAGTGTACTTCACAGTGAGTGTACCTGTTCATTCTCCCATCGCTGGTTGAGAGTTCCCGTCATTCCACAATTATGTCGACACGTCTGTGCTCAGAAAGAAAAGAAATTTGGTAATCTGATGGTGGGAAATAGTATCTTGTTTTAATTTGTATTTTCTAGATTAGTACACTTAGTATCTTTTTATTTGTTTATTGGACATAAAGGGTTTCATTTTCCATGAACTTCTGTCCATATTATCTGCCTGTTTTTCTATTGGGTTTATTTGTCTTTTGCTTATTGACTTGGTGGGGTTTTTGGTTTTTTGTTTTTTTTTTTTGAAGGGGAGGTAATTTGGTTTATTTATTATTATTATTATTATTATTATTATTATTATTATTATTATTATTATTATTATTATTATTAATTATATGGAGGTACTGTGCTAGGGGTTGAACCCAGGACCATGTGCATGCTAAACACGTGCTCTACCACTGAGCTGTACCCTCCCCCATGACTTGTTGTGTTTTTTTTTGGTTTTTTTTTTTTTCAAGTTCTTCATGTACTCTGGAAGCTAATCTTTTTCTGATCCTTTGCTGATAACTTCTTCCAGGCTGTGGCTTGTCTTTTCCCTCTGTTTATGGTATATTTTGTCAAGCATAAGTTTATTTTTCTTTTTTACTTATTGGTATTTTCTTCTTTCCTAAATTTTTGTCTTGAAAAATTTCAAGCCTGAATACCCTGATGTAGATTCACCAGTTGTTAACATTTTGCTACGTTTGATATAATCTTTTTTACTGCACTGTCAGAAAGTTAGCTGTTTCTTTCTTTCAAATCCTTTTTTCCTTTTCATTTTCTTTCTTTTTCTTATTTTACCATAGACATTAAGACCTTCAGTAACATGTTGAAGAAGAGTAAGAACAAGCTAATACTGGTTAGGATTGTGTTTAGTTGTATGTAATTGAAAACCTAAATGGTAGGGGTGTACTTTTCTCATGTAACACAAAGCCTGGCTTCACACTGTCATCAGTGTCCTAAGATCATTCTGTGTTTCTCTTTGGCCGTCCTTAAGGCTTTTGTCCTTGCAGATGACCACAACAGCTCCTAGCATTTCATCCATATGCTAGGCGGGAAGAAGGAAGTGCAAGGAGGAAGGGGAAGTCTTACATATGGAGGGAAAAAGCTTTCCTAGAAATTCTCAGCAGACTTTGTTAATTTATCATTGACCAAAATTATGACATACTCTAGCTGCAAGGGAGCCTAGGAAATGTGATTTTTCAACTGATCAGTTGCTGCCCTGAACAAAATTGGGATTTTTGTTAATAAGGAAGTAGAGCAAAATGCTATGTATCTATCACAAAGTATTCCAGTCTTGCTGCTGACTTTAAGGAGAATCTTTTAAATTTGTATCATTTAAATATGTTTATTCTTAAGTTTGGAGAGATTCTATTGGATTATACAGAGTCCTTCCAATTTCTGATTTCCTGACATTATTGTCACAAATAGTTGTGGAATTTTCTTGAATGACTTTTCTTTATATGTTGAGGCTATCATGTTTTTTTCTCCTTTAATCTGTTAATTTGGTGAATTATGTGTCCAGATTTTTTCCTACTAATTTTTTGACAGTTTTACTGAGATATAATTCACATACCATACAATTTGTCCATTTAAAGTGTGCAACTAAAAGATTTTTAGTATATTCACAGAGCTGTACAACCATCACCACAATCATCTTTATAACCATCACCCTAATCAAGACAGAGTATTTCCGGCAGCCCAGAAAGTTTTCTTGTGCCTGCTTCTGGTCAGTCCCCACCCCCTATAGGTAACCACTGTTTTGATTTCTACCATCATAGGTTCGTTTTACCTGTTCTTGAATTTATATAAATGAAATGTTACATTACAAGCTCTTATGTCTGACTTCTTTCACTTATGCATAATATTTTTGAGATTTATTTCATTTTGCTTGATTCTTTTTTAAATTACTGGATAGTACTCCATCAAATGAATATATCACAATGTCTTTATCCAGGCTTCTATTGATGGACATTTGGATCTTTGCCCATTTGGGGCTATTATGAATAAAGCCGCTGTAAACATTCTTGTATAAGTCTCTGTGGGCATGTTTTCATTCCTTTTAAGCAGGTGCCTTGTAGTGGAATGCTCCGTCATGAGGCAGGTAGATATGTGTTTAGTATAGGAAATTGCCAACAATATTTTACTTACTCTTTAACAACACAAGTTGTATTTATTGGTTTATGTCTGTCTCTTCTTTGGGATTGATAGCTCTTTAAAGCTAAGACATATCTTATTCTTTGTATTTATACCAATGCCTAATACAGTGTCTGCATATATTTGGTGCTCTGTAAATGTTAAGTAAGTAGCTATAGTTCTTTATTTCTATTACTCATGTGGAATTTATCACGTGCTATATTGTTAGTTGAACTCATCTTTCTTCTCTATTAGATTGCAAGCTTCTTAATAAGTAGGAACTTGTTTTATTCTTACAAAATTTCCAAGAATATCTGTCACATTGCTTTGAAAATTATGTGTGATGTACGAATGAATAGACCAGCCTGTGACCTAGAAGGTGAAGATCCTGGGACAAAAGAACAAGAAAAGTTTGCCTTCTGTCTCGTCTGATTGGGAAGAAGGAGAGAAGGAAAACCAGGCAGAGCTTCTATCATATCCATTGCCCAAATTTTGGCAGGGGTGGGATGGGCACCTATACTCAGTGGAGACTTTCGGCCTGGGAAGAACATTTTGCACCACTGTGCTTTGTCTAATTTGCCTCCGTTCCATTATATGTTGCAGCAGTGAAGGTTCTTACCTTTAGTTGGTGTGGCTGGCCCCAAAGCAGGTGGTGTGGATCACTAGACAGATTTTATTAGCGTTGCATTATACGTTGACACAAAATTAGGTTTTCCCTTTGCAGGATGTTTTGTTTGTGAAAGAGAAGAAATAGATACAGTATTTGAATACTTAGTATTCTGTTCTTATTTTGCAGTTAAATCCAGATGTGAATGTTTTCCAGCGGAAATTTGTGAATGAAGTTAGAAGATGTGAAGAAATGGATCGAAAGCTTCGTATGTGCACTTTGGTCTTGTATGATGTTCCTGTTGTGAGTCATTTGATTTAAATTAACATCTTCTCAATAAAGGAAGAAAATACTATAGGAGGAAAAGAAGAGAGGAAAAATCTTGCAATCTGATGTGAAGATGAATTTCTTGTGTACAAGTAGATTTGTGGTGTTTGGGCTAGGTGGTGCTTAATGGAAACTTTGAGATGATAAGGCCGCAGGCTGAATATATTGGTTATTTTTTTGTGGGAAGAGTCTTATAGCAGCACTACATTATAGAATTCTAAGAGGTAGGACCCAGAACACCATCATTTTTAGATGTCAGCATAGCCATCTTTTAATTTGAGCTACTTGTGGGGGAAGAAACTAACATCTGTTAAGGTCCTATTGAGAGTTTGGGTATTCATATACTTTATTTCATTCATTCCCCACAGCATTCCTTCAAGATAGGTGCTACCACATTTAGTAAATGAGGAAACCAAACATCAGAAAAGTTAAGTGACTTGCCCAAGAACATAAGCGGTCTTGATGGAATCAGTGTTTGAATCCAGGTTTTCTGTCTCCAAAACCCAAGATCCTCCTACTGTATTATGCCAGCCTTCAGGTAGCTGTTAGGTGAATTTAGTCCCCATGCTAAAAAAATAAGTCAGTAGTTATCACCTGAAACACTTTTCTCTTTTGATGTTTTGGGACCTTATTCTGTGCTTTGTTTTTTGTTTTGTTTTAACTCAAAACCAACCTGTTTTCAAGTTTAATGAAATCCTTGTGGTCTGGAGTTGTCTCCCTAGCGTGCTAAGCAGCAACTGCTCTATTGAATCACACTCTTCTGAAGCTCTCCTCTCCCAACAGTATCTGTGAGCAGAGCCATCACACAGTAGTAGTCACACGGGGTGGAGTGCTGACACCGATGAGGACCAGTTTTAAGGTCAGAAGAGGGAAGGAAGACAGTAGTGGGATGATAACCCTCTTTGGGGTACCTGTGCTTTAGAGAATATGGGGTTGGAGGAAGAGGAATGTGGAGAAAAAGGGATTTACATATTCTGCTTATTTTATGTAAAAATGTCTTTCTTAGAATGAAGCTCTTTTTAGGCAGGTTTGGGGTCATCTTATTTTTTTCCTCAAACATTGGCAGTTCCAGACATGTGCACTTAGACATGAATGTCCTCATTCTGTCATTTTAGGATTTGTTGAGAAAGAGATAAGAAAAGCTAATATCCCAATTATGGACACTGGCGAAAACCCAGAGGTGCCCTTCCCCCGGGACATGATTGACTTAGAGGTAAACAGTTCTTCTGAGGAAGCCAGATAAGTTTCTTTCTCCTTAAATTACTTTTCTGAGTAGGTGGAGAGTAGGCTAATTCTTGTTGTCCTTGTCTGTTGATTGCAAGTTTCTTGTGCATAGGATTAAAATGAATTCACTTTTTTTTATAGTATAGAATGCTGTGGTATCTCAAAAACTATCACATCCACTAAATAAATTATTTGCTTATTAAATTAATTATTGGCTTATTGAAATTTTATTGAATGAATATCAGTTTGTCTAGTAATTTATTAATCTCATAGACTAGATGAATAGCCAATAGACTTTTCAGTAATTATTTTGTCTATTCAAAGTCCCCTGAGGGATTTAACCAAGAGTATATAATAGACAAAGACCATTTTAAGCAAAAATAAACAAACAAACAAAAGTTATAAAGAAAATTGCCCTGGTAAAAACACAGTAAAATTGTCCCTCAGTATCCAAAGGGGACTGGTTCCAGGCCTTCCCTTGGACACCAAAATCTGCTGGTGCTCAAGTTCCTTATTTAAAATGGCTGTGGTATTTGCATATAACCTATTCACATCCTCCCTCCTACTTTAAATCATTTCTAGATTACTTATAATCTCTAATACAATGCAAATACTGTTAAGTAGTGGCAAATACAATGTAAATTCTAAATAGTTGCTGGTGGGTGGCAGATTCAAGTTTTGCTTTTTGGAACTTTATGGAAATTTTTTTCCCCCAGATATTTTCTAACCGTGGTTGGTTGAATCTGCAGATGTGGAACCCAAGGATATGTAGGACTAACTGTACTTGCTGGGTGAATACAAGATACCTTTGAATTGTTAGGGTGACAAGAGTTCTGTGGGATGGATGGATTCACCTGTCTTTCAGAGTGAGCATATTAAGCTTAGTTTGAGTTAATAGGTTTCTTGGTTTCTTTTTTTTTTTTTTTTCTGTAGGCCAATTTCGAGAAGATTGAAAATGAACTGAAGGAAATCAACACAAACCAGGAAGCTCTGAAGAGAAACTTCTTGGAACTGACTGAATTAAAATTTATACTTCGCAAAACTCAGCAGTTTTTCGATGAGGTCAGACTATCGTTTCTGTTAGTATTTGAGCAGCTGAGATTGCACCAACACAAGTGGGCCATGTTTTTATTCCAGTGATTATTTTAATTTGCTGATTTGAAAACAATGCCATTTTTGCACCCTGTTTTAGTTGAAGAAATGTCAGATTATGTTCCATTTTTCATGCAGTACCCAGCCAGCCATGGTTTTGTATATTTTTGCATTTTCAGCAATTTTTCATCTCAAAATGGGGAAAGGAACCCTAAAATAGTTATATAAACATAGTTGGATGAAATTTTTACATTATATTTTAAGGTAAGTATATGCTTAAGGTTAAAGTTGAAGCAGTAAGAAACATTTGGTTATACTTAAAACTATAACAAAGATCTAATCTCCAAAACCTTTTTGTCATTAAATTTTAATTTTTTTTCTGTGTTTGCTTATTGACCTTTCAGCACATTTTTAAGTGCTTCAGAAGCACATGTCACAGTTTAATTTTTCAAGGACTTTTCTTAGTGTTGTGTGGAAATACTGGTAGGATGCCTGTTTGAAATTCCTGGATTTTCATATAAACTCAACTGCATTACCTTGTAGGGAAAAATGTTAATAAGTTCCTGGGTTAAAAATGTAGGTGACTAAGTTGCCAGCTGACAGCTTGCGGAGGTGACCCCAAGGAAAGGATTTGGAGCAAGGCTTTCAGAAGGCTTCCTTCTCCTAATTAAACGTGGGGAGGAGTCTTAGCTTTAAGCCTGGACATGGTTTTTCTGATGGCCTAAAATATGGGTAACTCTTTTATAGGTGTCTTTGCCACCAGATTAACATCAGATGTTTCAGAATTTGTCCCAGTCACTGTTCAGTGTTCCTTCCCATAAGTTCTTCATTTCCTTTGCTCAACAACAACAACAAAAATTGGCAAAGCTTTTTAAAAAAATGGAGGACCCATTTTAGTTAGCATCTGATATATTCTCAGTTTTACTTTTAATTTCTGTCTTTTGAGGAAAGAACAACTCTCCCTAGTTCTCTAGACTGGAGCAGGGGTTTGCCAACCAGCAACTTCAGCCTCACCTGGGAACTTGTCCGAATGCAAATTTTCAGTCTTCACACCAAACTTACTTAGTCAAAAGCTCTGTAGGTGGGGCCCAGCAATCTGTTCTCACAAGGTGATTCTGGGGCATGCTAGTGTGACAACCACTGGGCTAGCCAAAGTCAGCTGAAGGTGTGATACATTCCTCAGTAACTAAGGATCTGACTCAGAGAAGCTATGCTAATTAAAAAGATCTGCCAGAACAAGGGAAAGGGGAGAAGCTCATACGAAGTTAATTGCCCAGTCCTCCTAAGAATCAGGATCTGGCTCTGTATCAGGGAGGGTTGGTGTGAATATTCAGTTTGTTCACTTAGTTGAGAATTTTGAGACTCACAGTAACTTCTTTCACCAGTCCGCAATATCATCACATTAGAGGGTATGGAATAGTGTGATTTACTCATTCCAAGTGTTTCAGGTCTTTTGCAACAGGCATGGCCACTAATACCAGATGGTTCTGATGAACACATAATCTGGAATTCCAGTATGCTCACTGCCTAAACAGTATTTTATTTATACTCATTAATTCATGGAGCATTTGATAAGCACCTACTCTTTGCGAGGCATCAGATGAGTAAGACATGGTCCCTATGTTCAAGGAATATATCACTTGGTCATATCAGGAAACATCCCTGAACACAGTGCCTCCACATGCTATACACATCCAAGCTGCTGCCCCCAGATTCAAAGTAAATCTGGCCCCAAGATCAAAGTTCAGTTACTTTTATCGTTATTTGGGATTTAACTCTTTTACTTCCCTCTCCCATTTTTTCCTCTTTTGATATAGTGTTTAGTTTACTTCTGGGATGTTGTTGAGATGTATGAAAATGTTTTTCATAACCTCCTGAGTTTAAGGATTGGGATAGGCTTCCTAGTCTAGTTCATTCTGAAGAAATTCTGAGTAAAGACTGACAAATGGACTCCCTTAAGGGAAATAGTCACTTAAACTGTTAATTTTTATAATAAAAAGTAAAAACAAAATAAGGGCAACCACTTGGAAGGATGATATAAGACTTTCACATTGTAGTTATGGGTTTAGGAATTTTCTCTGTAATTAATAGGTCTAAACATGAAATGCCCATCCTGAGAAGGCAGGCTTTATCTAAGTCTTCATGACTGTCATGCCCTATCCACGGTATGTTGTTTTCCCCCTCCTACTTTTGCAAAGCATTTTTAAAAAAAATCTCTGAAATTACTTTTGAGCATGAGACCTTGGTTGCAAGTGGTTCTTCTACGGCTTTTGTCATCCATCCCTCTCATTCCAGGATGAGGTGCCTTCTGGCAAGAACAGCTCTCCCCTTTCTCTCCCAGTGCACAGTCAGTGCCTTGCTCGCTCTTGCTGTTTGCTCGTAGTCTCAACCAGGTGCCTTTCAACAGCCCCTGCCCTGCTGTGGCCAAACAACAGGCTCAGGTGTCACTGCCCTGATAGGAGACAAGACCTCACAGAGTTAAGTGCATCTGCAGGTGTAACTGCACCCTTTAAATAATGCAAAAGATAAGGAAACTTGGGACCCTCAAATCTCAGAAATGTAGATTTTTCATGAGACTTTCTTCCATGCCTAAGATTATAACGTTTGCAAATGGCCTAAAACACTACCAATTTTAAACCCTTCTTTTTAATATAATTTGGTGAATATGATCAGTAATTTGCAATAATGAGTTGGTAGAAAATGGCTAAATCAGAAAATGATTCTTTCTATCACCAGGCATAGGGGTTATGATTGGCGAGGTGTGTAGAAGGGGAGAAGTAAACATATGTTGAATATTCTTATGATTTACCATGATTACAAATTCAACTTAGCCATTTCTTATCCAGAACATTTAAAATGACTTGTTAATGATTATCCTTTTCTCAGTCTTCTTGTTTATGAAGAACTGTAAGAGCTGGAGAGATTTCTCTGCATCTTTTACCATAAGCACCATAACATATGAGAGCATAAAGAAGACTGGAAAAGTAATGGTTAATGGCATGCAGATCCCTGCCTTCCTTTCCTTCTGAATTTTCCATCCATTTGCTTTCTTTACTTTTCTTTCTCATCTGCCATCTCCTTGGGGCTTCAGTGAATACTTTAGGTAACGAAATGTAATTTCTTTCTCCATGTAGATGGAGATAAAAGTGTTTGCTCTTGGTAGTTAATGCAGCTTGAACTGGATGTGCTGCTTATACTGAAGTATAAAAATAGAACTTCTGAGGTTCTGCTACTTCCTTTTCCAAGGCGTGGTTTTAGCATTCTGACTGGGGGAAGGGGGTAAACCAGAGGGCTCAGCAAGTAATTTAGAAAAACCTTGGCAGTATTGTCATTAGAGAACCCAGATTAGGATTTAGACACTTGATCATATGGTTTTAGATATTGTTTTAAAGGCCCTCAGTTAGTGGTTCTGGACATCCCAGCTTCTCATCAGGCACAATTATTTGATTTGAAAAATTTTGACTTTCCTAAGACTTAGGGTTCATAAGTGAAATTATTCATTAGGATATTATTACAACTTTCTTTTTAATTCTGCTGTTTTTGTTTTTGTTTTTTTTTAATTCCCAGAGAATTCTAGTCTTTGGAGTAGTCTAGTTGCTAAGCACTATTTGCTGTTCCATCAATTATCCCCTTTAGAGCACATAGTTTGCACTGGGTCTGGTCTTTAGGGTTTACTTAAAACAGGTCTTGTGAACCATGTAGGAAAGTAGGCGGGAGTCTTGTGGGTAGTAGTCAGTCTCATTGGTTTTTGCCGAGGGACATCCTTCTTAAACAAGTCAAAATATGGTTGTCATCTGGATCCTGAGAACAAGTTGCCTGTGGCTTGCAGAGGGCTGATTTGATTTTAAGGAGAAACAGAAAGAGCCCCTAAACTTCCATTTGACAACAAGTGGTAACCTGCACCCCTGTTACGTCATCTTAAAGCTTTCCAAATCTCATGACAATATTTCTCTGCACTTATGGTGTACCCAGTGCCTATCTTTCCCTTTTTTTTTTTTAATGGTTGTGGTTGAGAGTTGATCAACTAGAATTTACTTCCTGAACAATTGCTTTCACTCATTTAGGCTTTCAGACTTATCATCGGGTTTATACTCAGTTCCCCACCCCAACCCCTCTTTGACTTTACGTTGATGGTCCTATGACTTTATCAAATAAGATTCCCTTATTGGATTTTTTTTTTGATAGCGGGGTTGACAGGAGTGGAATCAAGTTGAAATTTGGAGTGAAAATGATAGAGGAAAATTCTGACTTTTTGTTAGTTTAGCTTTTGAAAAGGAAGATTATTCTGGCTTACTTCTAGCCTTTGGTCAAACAAGCAGTGTGTGGATATTAAAGTTGGGGAGATAAGCAGTGGAGAAGTCAATTGGCCTTCATTTTTTAGGGCAGCTTCTCCTTCCTGAGAAGAGGAAGAGGTGGGATGTCTAGAGAGAGGCTAGAAAATGTAGACCTACATCTGAGAAGGTCCCACTACTCCTTCATTTTATTGTATAAACTGTCATGGTGGACATCATTTTAAATCTAAACAATTAAACTAGCCCACATGCTCTCTAGTGGCTTATTATCTGTTACTTTTTCTTCACTTGATTCAGATTATTGGCTTGAGTTATGTTCCCAAGAATCCTTAAACTGTAAAGCCTACATGAACTTTTTAATATTGCTAGATGCCTGATCAGAAACTCAGACATTCAGATATGTTTTCACTTTTCCTTCCCTTTATGGTGCAGTGGAGGCTCATGCCTGCGCAGCTATTGGGCTTCTTATCCTTTTAGAGAAAGAAATACTCTTTAAATCCTATGGTTTGGAGTACTTTCTGCAGTGGCCGTGCTGAAGGTTCTCATGTTCTGAATTTTAAAGAGCATGGAAAACCTAGAAATCTGGAGACGCCCCTTCTGTCTTTCTCCTGTACAAGACAGTGACGGTGGCTTGCCTTCTTCCTTGGGAAGAGAATCTCCATCTTTCACAGGGAAAATTCTAGTTTGTAGCTGCCTGAAAATTCGATGTTGAAAGTATCTGCAGAGCTGCCTTGTTTTTGCTCAAAAGAAAGAGATAGTTCAGCTTCTATCCAAATGCAAAGGTGTTTCCTGGTACTTACATGGCTCATTCAGGGAAGCGTAAGAGAAAAAATGGTTTCCACCAAGTGACAGATTTATACAAGTGTCACCATCATTTAATGTTTTTTTTCCTTTATTCCTTATTTCTAAAACCATTTCCCCAGATGCTTTACTGGGGCAGTTGTGCTTTCTTTACCTCTTGTTTCCTTCCTTTGCTTTCTTCCTCTATTCTTCTTGTCTTCTTTCTGTGGGTATGTCTTCTCTTTTGGTGATTTTTTTTTCATCTTTACTTTCTGAACCTTATCTCCTGGTTCCTCGTTCCCTGCATGCCACTAACTATTTTCATTAGATATTAATTGATTTGTGAATTCAGGCTGAATTGCATCATCAGCAGATGGCGGATCCAGACCTGTTGGAAGAGTCTTCGTCCCTCTTGGAACCAAGTGAGATGGGAAGAGGCACGCCTTTAAGACTTGGGTAAGTACCGCTTCAACCCTTCGTACTCAGTGGGGTCATGTTCGCTTTTGCTGTTCAAAAGAACAGTGAGACTAGGCATTCACTTGCTTCCAGGATGCGCTGTCTTTTGAGCTCATTCCAAGGTGTTCTAGGTCGCTTTGGATTCAGTTCCTGAGTTGTTCTGTCACCTCTGCTGGGTCCGGGAATCAGACTTTGGCAGCCCCACTGACATAGCGATGTGTAGCCTCGTGTTTGTCATCTTTGCCCCCTCCTCTCACCTTCCTTCCATCCCATGGTATGGACCAGTTCCCAATCTGGCTCTTCTCCCCCCACAGCTTCGTGGCTGGTGTGATTAACCGGGAGCGCATCCCTACTTTTGAGCGCATGCTTTGGCGGGTGTGCCGGGGGAATGTGTTCCTGCGGCAAGCTGAAATCGAGAACCCCCTGGAGGATCCTGTGACTGTAAGACAAGGAAATTGCATCCTGTGGAGTAGGTCTTGTAAAGGGAGCTCAGAGCAGTGACACAGCAGGCACCATCTGAATCTGACCCTCCCACAGAGAAGCCCTTATGTGTACCCTGCTTTTATCTGCAAATTTGAAGGACTGCTCTTTCCTTTTTACCTCCATCATATGTGTACATACGAAGTGTACATGACATGTGCACATACATTTTTTAAGCTTTACCCATGTAGATATTATTTTGATTGGAAATGTTTTTTCCAGTTATTTTAAGCTTTAGCTTTATATATTTTCTGTTAGTTACCTGGGGCCAAAAGAAAATTAACTTTCTATGAAAATTAATTTAAAGCGAATCACCTGGTTCCAAGTTTGGTAACATCCATGCTTAAAAAGAGATTTCCTAAACTGGGATCTTTGTAAGCTGATGAAATTTTAAGTTGGTGAAGTTTTTTGTCTATTTGTTGAGAGATTTAGGAACTTAGTTTAGAGATTTGTATCGTGCACAGTAGGCTGATCTCCATCCAATGCTTTGGAAAATAGGGACGGCTTAACATCTTGGCATTTGACATAATGGGACAGAGTTCTTAATATAAACCTACATTAAGTATGGTGAGTCCTGATTTCAAGGATGACAAGCAAAGATTAAATATTCTGGAAAAAAATTTCCTTCACTTTTGTATTACTATTATTTAGAAGCCTAGAGTTGGTTTTTATGTTTTCAATTATCTTTTGGGTTTCTTAAACTACTATTCTTTGCCCTACCTAAGAAGAGAGGTTAAATTATAAGACTTCTCAGAGTGGGTGGGTCATACAGCTAAAAATGATCTTGGTAAATGGATTTTTATCCTTGGTACCAAGTAGGAATGTGGTGACACCTAGGTTACAGTGAGTCCCTTTACCTGGAGGAGCAATTGAACAGTCTTACTGAAGGCTGTCCTTAGGTTGTGGAGACACTGCAGTCAGCAGTCACACCTAATGTGGAGCTGTTCTCAGGAATATTCAGACAAGTTCCTGGGCAACAGAAACATTATTTTATCAACAAATTGAGGAGGCGAGAAGGTGTATGAGTATCTCCAACAGAACAGCTGCATGAGGAATGTGCTGCAGTTTATTCCCAGAGAACTTAGGAATTTGACTCTTTGAGCCTTTCTTCACTCCTCATCCCTCCTTATCCTTCTAAAGTTTTGTTGGTTTTCCTGTTATAAATGCTCTATAGGAATAAGAGAAAATACAGGCAACCAGAGACAGTCCTGGTTAACACCCAGTGTAGCTTATTTTCCTGATCTTTTCTTCTAGTCCTCGCGTCAGAAACTTGTGTTTGGAATGGACTGCCTTCCTCTCTGGCCCTGAAGTCTAAATTAGCATGAATCATAGATTCTACACCAGCATTCTTCCTAGCCACTCAGTTCCTTGTGGTTATTCAGGCCCCTTTATCTGGAGTTTCTAAGCATGGGAACAGGCAGGAATGGCTTCCTTCTCTGTACTTATGTCATTTAGACCATATAAGATTTAAAGTTGCATTGATAAATAGGGCTAAATTCTGCTAAGAAGAGAATCATCTTAGCATCTGTGTCAAGCTCCTGGTTGAGTTTAGAACGATTTTTGTGAATTTGCGATTACAGGGCAAATATTCTTGTAGTGGAGCTTAAGAAATGGATTGAGGATAATGGTTAAAGTACAGGGCTGCCACTTGAGGCCACTTAAAGGATTCCAGTTGTTTCTATATCTCCAAGAAAGTGAGTTATTTAAGAAGTTTTCTTCTGGATTGGAAGTTTGAATTCTCGGGTTTTGGTTTGGGGCCTAGGGCGACTACGTGCACAAGTCTGTATTCATCATTTTCTTCCAAGGAGATCAGCTGAAAAACAGAGTCAAGAAAATCTGTGAAGGGTAAGAGAAATATGCCTCCCTTGAGGGTGCAGCCAGGCCACCTAACTGTTAAGCCCATAGAATAGTGAAACACAAACCCTCTTAGTCTGCCTTGACCCGGTGAGTGTATCTTTTAATAATGTTAAGGTTATTTTAAATGATTAGAAATGGCCTAAGTTAATTTTTTTAAAGACCATCAAAATCTCAATTTCTTTTCCTTGGAAAAGAGCAATTAGGACTCATGGTTTAGAAATTCTACATCGTCCTGAAACAGCGGGTCTGCATAGCTTAGCAGTGTACCATAGGCACTGTGCCCTTCAGCTTTTCTGAAATTCTGCTTATAAGCTTTTTTTCATGCCATTTTTTCCAGTAATTTATAATGTAATTTGTATCACGTTTTTTTAATCTAAAGGAATTTAATAGCTCCAGAGAATGTCAAGACAGTTCAAAATTTGTTCTATCTGTAGGCCACTTCCCGTAAAGAATTATGATTGATTAGTTCAACTAATCCTGTTTTGTTTCTTCTAGTAAATTGGGTTACTTTCTGAGATTACTTGAATTGGCTCAGGTAAGAAATTTCAGCATGCCTCAGGCTGTGTCTGTGCATTCCAGGTTCCGGGCCTCACTCTATCCCTGCCCTGAGACGCCACAGGAGAGGAAGGAAATGGCTTCTGGAGTTAACACCAGGATTGACGATCTCCAAATGGTACACAGAGGGCTGGAGGGAACTTGTTTTTGCGAAATACTGCAATAAGAGAACACTTCACTTCCTTGAAACACTAACAGTTTATGAGGCACTTGCGGCAGCCCAGGATACATTTCTCGTTTGCTATTTTAAGTCATCCCCTGAAACTTTTCCCCAGCTCCCAAGGGGAGTGACTTAAAAATGGCGTTAATCATCTTCAAATAAGACAAGAGTGCTATGCACCTAAAATCGTTGTTGCTTAGCATATTCAATTCCCCTCCTCTTGAGTTTGAGATATTTTTATAATAAAATTTAGTATGCTTAATTAAGGGAAAAAAAATCAAATGCTACAGAAGTATATACAAAATCAGTTCTGGCTCTCACACACACATTCTACCTCCAGAGGAAGCCACTCTTAAACAACTTGGTGTGCATCCTTCTGGTCACCTTGGATCTAAACCACTGAGTCTAGCCAAAGAGGCCTGGTGTCACGCTTGTACCCAAGAAGAGACTGTGTTAGCTTTTTACCAAATTGCAGTGTGTGTGGTTTGCACACAGCAACGTTGTCACAGAGTTCTCAGGAAGGATTGATTCATGCATACGTGGAAGGAAAAGGGTGCCCAGTTGGAGATTTGCTCCCCTTTGAAAGAATGTGGTGATTGCCCCCTTGAAACATTAACAAACATACTTAATCCCAAAGGCAGTTCTTTCCAGCAGTGGCAGAATTGTCAGAGATATGTTGTAGCTCCCATTTCAACACTTTTTCTCATCTTTCCGTATGTGACCCACTAAGACCTCTCGCCCGCTCCTCTGAGATACATTTCTCTGTTTAACCAAGGGAAGAGAGTATTTTAGAACTGCTGGTGGGTGAAAAGTCATATTAGTATGTTCTGGGTTCTAGGGCTGTCCTATCCTTTCCTTGTGAGGTAGGCTTGTGGTAGATTTTAAAGAGCATGTTTAATAGTCATTGTAAATGACTAGAATTTTTAAAACACAGAACTGTATGAACTGAAACTTTTAAAAAGGAATTGAATGGGGGGAGGGTATAGCTCAGTGGCAGAGTGCATGCCTAGCATGCACGAGGTCCTGGGTTCAATCCCCAGTACTTACATTAAAGATAAATAAATAAAAACCTGATTACCTTTCCCCCCAAATAAAATAAATAAAAAGTTTTTTTTTAATTAAAAAGAGATTGAATACCAAGGAGGGAGAGGTAGGCATTGGCGGGTGAGGAAAGAGAAAAGCAAATAGAACATTTCTTGCAAGTTTATTTAGCATCCTCCAAGAAGTTTAAACAGTAATTGTGAAATCATCAGCAGCCAGAAGGAGAGAAAGTAGCTTTGTTCCTTTAGTCTCATGTGATACACGAATTTCCCTAGCATGCCATGCCTTTTTTTTTTTAAAAAACCTCTCTATGGAAGTTACTTTCTGCTGCCCAAAACAGTTTCTCAGGAAGCAGTTACTACTTTTTTCCTGAACTAACTTGAAAAGCCAGCTATGATGAAGACTTGTGGTAAAATGATTAGTATGTAGTTTTTTCCTCTTCAGACAAATGTGGAGGTTTAAGATAGATTCTCATGCAGAAGTGTGAGCGGTGGGTTGTTTGTCCAGTTTTGGCGTAGACCCTGTTCTGCTATGGAAATCTTAAATATTCGATGATAAACAAGGCAGTAGAATGTAAAGTGTCTCTGGCCCACCCTCCCACTCTAGTCTTAGCAGTGTGGTTCCTCTGAGGGAAATCTGTACTGGTTTCCAAAGGGACAGAAAAATTAAGCCTTATCTGCTCTGTGATGACAGTGGTATGTGGCAGTCTAAATCCCTTCTAAAGGCCATGGTGTCTCCTGTCTCCTCCTCCCTGGCATGGAGTCTCTCTTGGTACAGGCAGATGACAGTGTTCAGCAGTGCCTCTTTCCCACCATTCCCTGATGCTGGCTTATGTGCAGGGGGTTCTGCAGCTTGCGATTCTTAAGTATGGACTTGTTGGCTTGGTCAGCTCCTGGGCCTGTGGTGCTGACCTCTTTGAGTCTGAGTTACAGGCTCTACATGGGAAGTCATTGCTCTTTAATGATCCAGATAAAAGCTGATGACCTACATCATTCTGCCGTGGATTTGGTGGGAAGTTTAAATATAGGGAGAAAGGCTAAAAAACATTTTCTCAGGTTTCTTTTCAGCTGGAAACTAAATAAAAATGAATGTTAGTAACTGGAACTCTAATTTCTTATAATTTGGCCAACCTCCCCTCCAAAAATCAAAAAAAACCCATTCTAGCTGGAGGAAGGAAAAAAACAGATCCCAAGCAACCCTTCTCAGAAAGCTGTGCCTTTTTGCCATTTATATCCTGATGTTTAAGACTGGTGTTAACTGGTGTTAGAAGGATCATTCTCTTACTCCTTTCTCTCCCAAAAGGTTCTGAATCAAACGGAGGATCACCGCCAAAGGGTTCTGCAGGCAGCTGCTAAGAACATCCGTGTCTGGTTTATCAAAGTGCGGAAGATGAAGGCTATCTACCACACTTTGAACCTGTGCAACATAGATGTGACCCAAAAGTGCCTGATTGCGGAGGTCTGGTGCCCTGTCACTGACCTTGACTCCATCCAGTTTGCACTCAGAAGGGGCACGGTGAGTCTCTTACAGCTAGCAGTGCAGCCTACAGCCAGGAAGAGAGGTTCCCATCAACAGTAACATTAATCAGTTAAATTTTTATGGCATTTTTAGTCTCAGAGTTCTTTAATATACTCATCTTGTACTCATCTGGCTTCCTGACAGTACATTTCATATATTCTTATTTTCCAAATGCAGAAATTGCAGTTCAAAAAAAGATTGAGTGATTTAATCACATATCCATGATCCTTCAGGGTTGCTCACAACCAGAACATAAATGTCCTGATCCACTGTCTCTGTCCGTTAGGTTAGTTCCATAGTATAACCCTTGCAGTCCCTTTTAGTAGTTAATTAGAGCTACATCCCTGTTTAAGGCACTGATGTGGGGGCCGAGAGGTACAGATGTGTAAAAAATAGGCTCTCAAGTACCATGATTTACTTGGAGAGGCTGATGTGCAAGCATACAAGACAGGCTGTGCTAAGAGTAATTTATGTGTGTGGAGGGAAGGTGCTAGCTTTTCCAACTAGGATCAGAAAAAGCTTTAAGAAGGTGGCATTTACTCAGGGCTTTGAAGAATGGGTAAGATGTTGGTTGGCAATGATGAGAAGAAAATAGCACAGACAAAGACAGAAGTACAGCGTTACAATGCATGGTTGGGCCAGAACGAATTGTCACAGGAGAGCTGAAAGAATGGGAGGTAAATAAACCTGGGTCAGGTGGACTGGAACCTAATTGTTTTTAATACCAGGTTAGGGGGTTTAAATCTTATCCCAGAGGGAGTAGAGAGGCATTGGAAGTTTTTTAGCAGTGAAAAGACATTATCAAAACACTTTTAAAAGAGTAATCCATCGATAGTATCTGGATTGGATTGGGGAGTAGAGAGAGTCTATAGGTGGGGGGGGTCAGTGAGGAGGTTATTGTAAACAAAGTAGGTGATAATAACCCCAGCAGTAAGGCTGGGCAAGGAAAAGCAAACCAGGATGATTTGTGAAACATTCTAAAGGAAGTATCAGTAGGTACACTAGGTGTCTAGCAATGTGCAGGAGAAATACAAGGAGAAAAAATTTAAATGTTTCTGAGGCATCAGACCTGAACGGATGGTAGAATAATGTTTCCATTAATGGAAGTAAAAGCTCAGCAAGGAATCGTATTAATAGGGGAAAGGTGGTGAGTTCAGCTTCAGTCACATTGAGGGGCTGAACAGAAAGCCACATGGAAATGTCAAGCAGGTAATGGGATAGGTTCTCGAAAGAAAAGGCAAAATGAAAGAAATAGGATCTGTGAGGTTGGAAGGGATGAGATCTCCAAGAGAGAAAATGAGGAAGCTAAGGGTAGCACCTCTGGGGCCCCGCAGTGGTACAGGCAGAGGAGGAGGAAACAGAAAGGGCACGGTTAGTGAGCAGAAGAGGAAGATCTCTAGTGTCAGGGTTTGCACATGAGAGAAAAGACCTTTGGATCTGGTGATGAGCCAGCACTTTGACTAAGAGTGCTCAGCTAGACTACAGGGAGTTAAGACTAGGTGGTGAAGGAGGAAAGTCAGAGAATAACTTTGCTTTCTCCATACCAGGAGGAGAGAACAGTGATACTTGGAGATAAGGATGTCTCTAGAGAAAGTGGCACCACATTTTTTTTGGCCACACATTTTAGAATTTTTTTTTTCAAAGTTAGGATATTTTTCCTGAGACTTCATTTAAATCTCTTACTATAAAATTTATAGCTAGTTCCAGTTTCCCCAAAGACTGGAAAGATTGAGATATAATTTACATGAAAGAAAACACACATACTTTCTGTGTACTGCTCGATGAGTTTTCATAAATACATACACCTGTATAGTCAGTTAGGCCAATGACCTACTTCTGATATACGTGCTTAATGTTTCCCAGGAACACAGTGGTTCCACCGTGCCCTCCATTTTGAACAGGATGCAGACAAACCAGACTCCCCCAACCTATAACAAAACCAACAAGTTTACATGTGGCTTTCAGAACATAGTGGATGCTTACGGAATTGGAACTTACCGAGAGATAAATCCAGGTAAAAAAGCTTGAATCTTTTCCCTCTAGAGGTTTTATTCTTTGTTATTTCTTTTAATGCCTCACTTTGCATGCAACTGAACAACAGTTGGCTTAGAACTAAAGATACTGTCAAGACCACAGCTCTTGTGTAATTCCTGTGCCTGTTTGGACATAGGGAGTGAGATTTATCACTGGGTGGCACTCCTTTAAGAGATAGTTTTATAGGAATTGTGTAGAAATGAGCTCTGTAGATTAGAGTCCTCTGTTTGTCCCCATGGCTCTAAAGTACTGGGCTTTCTCTTGCACATCATTTGCTGGAGATGCTTTAAGCAAAAAGTTTTTTCCAAGATAATTGATATTTTAAAATAGCTTCCCTGTGACTTTATTCCTTTGATAACTATGTAAGTTTAAAAAGCTAAAGCGCCAAACCGTCTTAGAAACAATGAACAGTACAAATGTATAAATTTAACAAAATACATGCAAAATATTGTGTATATGTATTCACATGCAGTACATTGTATATATGCACATTGTAACAGTTCTACCTAATAAAACTGAAAAATGAAAAAAATTTTCCTGTTCCAGATTAGGCAGAGAAAATAATAGCAATTCTGACAATTTTAGGCACAAGGCAGTTTTCTCTTCTGTTTGGAGAGTAAATTATTAAATCAAGAGTCTGAGAATCGTAGGGGAGTAGGGGAGGGTATAGCTCAAGTGGTAGAGCACATGCTTAGCACGTATGAGGTCCTGCATTCAATCCCCAGTATGTCCTCTAAAAATAAATAAACCTAGTTACCACCTGCCCTCCCCAAAAAAAAACCTTAAAAAAAAAAAAGAGAAAGAGTCTGAGAGTCCATGTTCAGTGGGAGCCTTCTGCAGAGCCTGCCCTGCTCAGGGGTCTGGGCTTTCTCCCACTTCATTCAGCTGGTTGCTGCACAAGAGAGGAAAGCTGGCCTGCCCCAGGATCAGTAAACCAAAGGTTAGGAAAAAGGACTAGAAGAACAAACCACAGTGTTGCCAAGTCTAGGACAGAACTTTCTGGCAGTAGCTTGGATGCCTTCAGAGCTGCTTTGTGAGGCTGTGCAGATCCTACCATGGAAGTTATTTTCTGGGAGTCCCTCTGACTGACAGCTTGGGAGTAAGTCACCTTACTTTGAACTTAGAGTATGAAGAGAAATGTGGTATGTTGGGAGTTGTTGCTGTTTTCTGTACTTTGTTTTTTCCCTTCTTTGGTTTCTTTGTTAGCTCCATATACCATCATCACTTTCCCCTTCTTATTTGCTGTGATGTTTGGGGACTTTGGCCATGGCATTTTGATGACCCTTTTTGCTGTGTGGATGGTGTTAAGGGAGAGCCGGATCCTCTCCCAGAAGAATGAGAATGAGGTAATGTTTTCTCTTTCTTTCTTTTTTTTTTTTTTGATAAAAACTACGAAACATAAGATAATTTTATTATTTTCTTGACATAGCTCTAGTATTTTTCTCCTATAATCTTTGGCTGCATACTATCATTGTCTCTTCATATGGCAACAAATTTATAATAATTTTCTACAGTCAGAAGGATAATTCAGTCTTTCCTCTAGCATGATTGATGGAAGTTATTTTTATTTATTGCTTATTGAGATATAGTTGATTTATAATATATTAGTCTCAGGTGTACAACATAATGATTCAAAAATTTTATAGATTACACCCATTTGTAGTTAATTAGAAAATATTGGCTGTATTTTGTGTGCTACACAATATATCCTTGTAATTATTTATGTATAGTAGTTTGTCCTTTTTAATCCCCTATCCCTATCTTGTCCCTCCCACCTTCCCTCTCCCCACCAGTAACCACCAGTTAATTGGAAGGTGAGGTAATACTTAAGTTACATCTGGGTTGGACTGAAACTTTATAATTTCTCAAGCATTCATTATGAGAGTCATGATCTAGAAGTCTTTTATCCACGAATGTATACAGATGTTATAGAGAGTATTTAGAAAATAGAGAAGTTATGTTCATTTTAACACTAAATAGGCCACATGCTGTGACAGCAAATTTCTTGTTATCATTGTATTTTGGTCTGTACTCCAAGCCCTCTGATCCAGAATAGGGTAAAGTAGTGTGAGAGGAATTCTCTAGTATATTCTAAATAGCATTGTCACAAAATGAGCTGCAGTGAGCAGTACATTTCATTGACTTCTTCCTTCTGGCTCCCAGATGTTTAGCACTGTGTTCAGCGGCCGGTACATTATTCTGTTGATGGGTGTGTTCTCCATCTACACTGGTCTCATCTACAATGACTGCTTTTCCAAGTCTCTTAATATCTTCGGGTCTTCTTGGAGTGTACGGCCGATGTTCACTATATATAATTGGACGTAAGTTACAAAGAAGCTAAAAGTCAAAACTTATTCCTTTCATGGTCATCAGCTCTGATTTTCCAGACAAGTGGTAAACTAACACTTCTTTGGAAAGTGATGCACACTGTCTCTGTTCCAAAAGAATATGGTGTCTCCTCTTGTGTATGCTCCAGCCTGGGAAGTGCGTTGTGATTTGTTCAGCAGTATCATGGAACTGAAACTGTAAATTAGGCACGTTGATTCTTTTTGTATGTGTATATTGTATGTATTGTATGTGTGTTTGATTTTTCTTTCTCTTATCACTGATACCTTCTCACTCTGATGCTAGTCCCTCCTCTTTTACTGAGGAGACGAGATAGCTGTGGTAGTTTCTTTTGGGATCAGTTTCTTGATCCCAATAGTTTTCCTCTCTTGATAAAAAAAATTAATGCACTTTTCTCCTAACCTGTTAGGGAGGACACACTTCGGGGGAACCCTGTCCTCCAGCTGAACCCAGCTGTTGATGGAGTTTTTGGTGGACCATATCCTTTTGGCATCGATCCAGTAAGAGCACTTCTGTCCTATATGTCTAACACCAAAATTTTTAACTGTAACCGAAAGTAAGAAAATTTAAATGAAGATAAACAGTTATTTGGGTTTTAGTTAACATATTTTTGGAAAACCTCTGTGTGTCTGTCCAGAGTACTTCAAACCCACAAGAGACCCAAATGCCTTGGGGAGCCAAGTAATTTTTTCTGCACTACTTATTTTAGAGGTGGCTAATAATATTGACTCTGGGAAGACTGGTTTTCAGGACTTCTTCCCAGTTTATTTCTGTTTAACATAGTTTGGTTTTTATTTTTAGCAAATTTTTAAAAATTGAAGCACAGTCAATTTATAATGTGTCAATTTCTGGTGTACAGCATAATGTTTCAGTCATACACACACATATATTCATTTTCATTTTTTAGCAGATGTTTTAACAAAGCAAAAATAGCTCTTTTCTATGGATTTTATTCTGTTTTATCTTACTTATTTTTATTGAATTATTGTTGATTTACAATATTGTGTTAATTTCTGGTGTACAGTCTGGTTATTCAGTTATATATTTATATAATATATATATTATTTTTCATGGATTTTAGATTTCCATTCTTTACATACTCACAAAAGCTTATCCCAAAATTTGATCTTTTTTCAAGTACTTAGGCAAATAAAGTATGATCAAATCTTTTGTGTAGTTAAAAAGGGGAGGTGGGGGGAATTTAAGTCTAAGTGTTAGACTGTAAGGATCACATAATTCCAGAGGAAAAGCAGATCATTATGGACCAGAAAGGTTAAGGTGTCTTATTTTTTTAAAAAAAAGGGGGTTTGGGCAGAGATTAATCTGGCCTTCAAAAAATATTTCAGATTGTTGTAGGCAAGGAAAAGTATGTGCAAAAGAATGGAGGTTGGGAGATACAAAGTTATTATGATTAAAATAGAAGCAGTGTTACTGAAATGCTTCTTATGGGACAAGCACTGTACTGAGCCCTCAGCTTACCTGATTTATCCCCAAACAATTCTATCAGGCAGGTATTATACAGATAAAGAAACTAAGGCTTGGAGAGATTTAATAACATTTCACATATGCATTTAACAAATGTTTACTAAATCCCTGTTGTCTGCAAGGCATAGTGCCTGCTGAGGGAGATAAATAATTTTGAGACATAGCTTCTGTCCACAAGTAGCTTGGAGTCGAGCAATAATATTACCTCACGTTTATATAGTGTTCTGTAGTTACAGAGTTTTTGTTTGTTTGTTTGTTTTTGCAAACATCACATTTGATGCTTACAAGGTAGATACTGAGTTTAAAGTGCCTGTGGGACACTCAGGTATAAATGTCCATCAGGAAGTTGGAGTCGTAGAACTTCAGGCAACACTGGGGCTGCAGAGAGAACCAGCCACAAGTTTTCAGATTAGAAGTCACCAAGGAAGAGCCTTTCATGAAGAGGCCAGTTCAGAAAAGAAGATGCTGTGCTGGATGGTGGAAGATCTGTTTCATAGGGTATAGAGTTTGCACCTTATCATAGAGAGATGACAGTCGGGGTTCTGAGAGGTTTAGGCACAGGAACATGACTGTATCGGCGTCATGAGCTAGGAAACAGAATCTGACGGCCAAGTGGAGGCAGAATTGTCAGGAAAATTTTGCAGGCATCCAGGCCTTAGGTGACAAAGCTTAAGGCAATTAATATCTAAAAATAGAACAGCAGCACCACAGAGTTTCTATTAGCAAAACACAGATTGTGAGAGCATCTGCAAGATAAACGTCCCAATTTCTCCAGTAGATAATTTGTAAGGAATAAAAAAGAAGAGCTAGAGGGAAATCAGAGACTTACAAGCTGTATCAGCATTCACAGTGTATATAGACCTTATCTGGACCCTGCTTTGACTAAATGAATTATTAAAAAAAAAGGATATTATCAAAAAATGTAATATTGGCTATTTCATGATATTAAAGAATCATTAATATTCTGGGATGCAACAACAGTATTGTGGTCAATTTTTAAAAATGAGTTCTTACCTTTTAGGGACCCATACTGAAATATTTACAGGTAAAATGATATCTAGACTTTGCTTCAAAACAGTGTGGAGACGGGGAGTGTGTTGGGGGTATGATGTTGAAATAAGATGAACAGGAGTCATTGTCGAAGCTGGGCCACAGGTTCATGGGATTTTGTTATGCTATTCTCTCTGCTTATGTGTATGTTTAGGATTTTCCATAACTTAAAAAAAAGGATTCTTTAGACTATTTTTCCATTTGAGAACTCTTTCTAATGGCTTTTTGTTTTCTTGGATTGTGACAGATTTGGAACATTGCTACCAATAAACTGACCTTCCTCAACTCCTTTAAGATGAAGATGTCTGTTATCCTTGGTATCATCCACATGCTGTTTGGAGTCAGCCTGAGCCTTTTCAACCATACGTGAGTTGCTCTGTTTGTCATATAAGAATGCACATAGTTTATTTAGACAGCACTTTTGCCTAAAGAAATCATAACATTTTTGGGGAGGGATTAATAACTCAGAACACTGTTCTGTATTAAAGAAGTACATTTATAAAAATCTCATTTCTTTAAATGAAGCTTACTTAATATTAGTCCCTCAACAATGTACAGTTGTACTAAAGATCTCTGAAAAAACCTTGTGTGATTTTCATCAAAATGAGACTTACGTTCTTTTTCCCTTGATGTGTAACTCACATAAAATTATGAACTGTGGTCTCAGAATATACTAGATTTTCCCATCTCTTTCTTATGGGAGATTTGGGTTGGGGGGCGGTTGTGATACTAGAGCTGTCCAAGGTCCAAAAACTTGGAAGTCATAGTTAATCCTGCTTGTCTTTGTTGCCTCCACGGCTTCTGGCTGTTGCTTCTTAAAATGATAAACACAGGACCAAGGGAGTTTTAGGTACAAAATCTTGTAAGCACTCCACTTGGTATAGATGTGACCCTGGGTATGTTCATCTTTGACACTTTTCTCTCTTACTTTTTAGCTATTTCAAGAAGCCCCTGAATATCTACTTTGGATTCATTCCGGAAGTAATCTTCATGACCTCTTTGTTTGGCTACTTGGTTATCCTTATTTTTTACAAGTGGACGGCCTATGATGCTTACACATCTGAGAAAGCACCGAGCCTTCTGATCCATTTCATAAACATGTTCCTGTTTTCCTACGGGGACTCTGGTAACTCGATGCTGTATTCTGGACAGGTGCGTCAAACCAGAGGTGGACTGTCCTAGGTGGTTATTCTAGGTCAGGAAGCCAGATGTTTCTGTGACTCTGAAAAAGCCTTTTAAAAAAAATCCCTTTCTATAGTGTTTGGTTTTCAGTCCATGCATCCTGATCTAAGTTCAGCCCATCCTCCTTTTTTGGAGGATGTAACTTCTGTATCCAGAAAGGGTAGAACTTATAACTCTCATCATGTGGGACAATCCTGGACTTTGCCACAACATATACTAATTATTTTGAGAAACTAGATTGTGTTATTTATGCACAGATCAGCAAGACAACACTCTTTTAGGGAAATTTATGCTGGAGTTGGAAACTGCGTATTCAATTAATGTGATGTGCCTTGGCCTTCTTACTTTGCAGAAAGGAATTCAGTGTTTCCTGGTAGTGGTGGCACTACTGTGTGTACCTTGGATGCTACTGTTTAAACCACTCGTCCTTCGCCGTCAGTATTTGAGGAGGAAGCATTTGGTGGGTGTATTTCTGTTGCTGAAAGTCACTAGATTTCTTTTTTAAGATCAAGACACTTCCTCATTGGGTATAATGAGTTGTACATAAGTCTGTATTCTCTTCAAATGCATTTGTGTTATATCCCAGCATGAGCACCGGACCTGCATTAAAAACAAAACAAAACCAAAAACCGAAAACAAACATGTAATTGCTGCCCAGACATCCAGACTCAGCTTTGAGTAGCCCAGGAGAACAAGTCATAAGTTTTTACCTTTCCTAGTCATGCTGTGCTCAGCAAAATCTGGGTCTGGACCTGTCTGGATACAGCATCAGCCAAAGCAAGGCTGCAGGCGCTGCAGACGAACCCACTCATGTGGTTGGCCTGGACAACCACAGGGCTGACACTGAGACATTTTCTTTTAAGAAAAGATCTTAATACTTTCACCAACCAAAACATCCGGG